AAAAAAACGTGGTCCAGACTTGACAATTACTGATTCCTGATCATGCTTCGGTAAGAAACGTAGCTATGTTTGTGGTATGATGTGCATGTAGCGTGCTGTTATGTTGTAAATTGTCTGGATACGCTTGGGAAGAAAAAATATTTTATTGCACAAAATGGCCTTGATCACATCAACTGATGGGGAAACATTGTTGGTTTTCCTGGAAAATTACCATAAAATTATGCCCTACCCACTTAAAATTAATGAAACTGTTCTGAATATCACTTATTTGTTACTTAAAAACTTTTAAGTACAATTTGTGTCTCCTTTCCTGTAACCCCCTTGTACGTATGTAAAAAGGGAAAAGCAGAGACTGTAAAAAGTTGCTGAAATATACGGACCCCAAACACACAATCCCAGAGCCCAAAACGATCAAGACTAGAGCCATAAAAAGGAGATAAATCAGAGATTAAATGCACGTGCCATGAGCCAGTTGATTAATGTATATACAACACTGATGAGACATTTTCACTACAGTACTATAGTCATTTTGGGCCTTCAGAAAAAACAACAGAGTAACAAAATCTGCATATCTAGTCCTGTAAAACATGCTGACATGTTTTGCTGTCGAGTAGGTTTTCAATCTTTTTTTCCTTTAAAAACAAACAAACAAACAAACAAACAAACAAACAAACAACTCAAAACTCTGGCAGTTCACCACTTACTTACTTTTGTACCATTGTAAGCTGTTCATTGGACCTGAATGAGTTAAATTGCAATAACTGGAAAAATTGGGGTGTTCTAAAACTTTTGACTGGTAGTCTAAGTTTGCATAGCTAACTTCAGGATGGTGGTGCATGAGATAACCCATTGTTTGTTTATTAATTCATTTAATGATATAAAGAAATATTCTGGTATCCCAAATATTGATACTGAATGCTATATCTATATTTGTTGCACAAAATAAAACAGAATATTGCAATACTACGTTGTAGCAATTTTCTTTCCTTCACCCCTAATTTTCTTTCATAGTTAAGAATATTTACTTTTTCCTCCTTTATGCAACAAACACAACATTCGCATATTCTTCACAATGCCACAGGACTTATATGACAAAGAGTGTGTTACTCACTTGTGACCTTCTGCAGGAAATCCAGACAAGGCCGGCTAATCCCTGACATGCTAACAGACACGGCCACCGGAGTCTGGCCCTCGTAATTCCTAGTATTGGTATCTGCTCCATAGGTGTAGAGCATCTGGGCACACAACACATCATCCCTTAGAGCTGACAAATGTAAGGGAGTTTGGCCATCTTCAAGGCGTCCAAGATTAGTGTCCGCTCCCCTCTGCAGGAACATGCGGCAGTATGAGTGATTGCCTTTGATGACAGCATAGCGTAGCAGGAAGCCATTTTGAATGTCAATGTTGGCGCTGTGGTCAAGGAGGATCCGTACACAGCTGGAGCGCTCGCGGATTATGGCGAGCTGTAGTGGCGTGGTTCCTTTGTCGCTCAGAGGGTCTACCTCGGCCTTGAACTCGAGCAGGAGCCGCACGAATGAGTCTCGACCATAGTGGGCAGCCACATGCAGCGGCGTCCAGCCATCGTTACTTTTTGCATTTATGATGTCACTTCGAAACTCTGACTCCAGCATCAGTCGGGCAATGCGCGCTCTGCCATGCATAGCTGCATAGTGAAGTGCGGTGAAGCCACCGATAAAGTCCTTCACTGTGGGGTCAGCTGTACAGACGAGTGACAAGAAAAGACGAGTTAAATGCAGCAGACATTTCATATTATATGATTTATGATAAGATAGTGTAGTCCAAGAATTATCTGCAGGAAAGAACTTTTCATAAATTCGTATTTACGGTGCATTCCTGCTAGACTATTATACTTTAAGTGGACATGAATAATGTATAAAAGCTTAATTGACACTAAAGCCCTGCTCTCAAAAACTGACAGATTTAACAGTCTGTGAAGTTGGATTTAGAAAATAAGTGTTCAAAGTTTTTAGAACATGTTTAGTACCATCTTGTATCAGTACAGAACGAGACACTACAGGGTTTAATAGGTTTACATTAGTGTATGTTAGCTAACTAGTAGCTGAACCAAAACCTCACTGCCCAAAAAACTGATTCTGTCATAGCGCGGTGGTGGCAATGGGAAATCTTTCAAAGATAATGGCAGACGGCCAAACAGTCAACTTTTAAAAGTAACAACAGGGTTTTACCTAACTTATTTATGTAGCAACTTAAATGTTTAGTTATGGGCAAATTGAAGCTTCGTAAAACACTGAAACATTTGAAGCATTTGTGCTGGAATTGTACTGGTTTTGAAACAATATCAAACCCATCTCCACAGTGACCCCTGCTGGCCAATTTGGATATTGCCACATCTTAATGAATATTCAGTCAAACAGTCATGCAGCACAATTCCTAACAAAGCTACTTATTATACCAGACTGTCATTAATGGTGATCAACAGACATTTTGGAGAATCCCAAACAAGCAAGAAAAATATTGAGCCTGTTAAACACGACAAGTTACGACTGTAATGAATGGTGTGCTTCAGCAAAATCCTCCCTCTGTTAACATTTGTGTTGCTCAGAAGAAATCAGTTTATAAAATAAAACATACTGATGAGTTTGCATCATCACGTTTGTTCTGCACAATGTCAAGCAAAGCTAGAAGCTGGCATGTTTAAGGTTTTATTTTTAATTAATTTAAAAATATATAATTAAATGGAGAAAATAAATGTTTTCCTTCTTTATAAAAAGGTAAGATTTATTTTCACAGGCTAATTCTGACCAATTATAACAGTCCA